TTGGAGATGAAAGCATACTTGAAAAGTTAAAATCGAAACTCCTCCTGTATTTCACTGTCTACAAGAGAGCAAAGGCACTAGCAGGTAGCCCGAGTGGTAGCAAATGCCAACAACAAACACCCGTCCGCAAGACTGTTGTTGACTCTGTCCCTCTTGAGAATATGACCCGCTTCTAAAAGTGCGCTAGTGGTGCTTCCCAACCTTTTCGACGTTAAGCATGGGAGGAGTGCTGCTCCTCGCTGCATCATGCCTGCCAGCGATAAATTAACTCCGTGTGTTTTGCAGATATCCTCTGTATATCAAAGGTGGGAGTCGTGGAAGATTTGAGGATGCAATGTCATTGCTAAATAAAAACATAGCGCAACTTCGATGGTGGTTTGGTTTAACAACAAACAAAACTGATAGCACGCTGTTGAATCTACAAGATTTGTTGCTGCATATAATTAGTGAACGGTATTTGTTAGCTTTGTGTTCTAACAATGCACAAAAAACATCCTCAAAATTCGTATTTTTCTCTTGGAATTTAGCACACTGCAAAACAAATCGAGAGGGAGACATGAAGTGAGGGATTCATCCATTTGCATGAACTTTTCGGGCTTTTCGCGTTATAGCACTTTGTGAACTGAATCGAAAGATGGTTTGGATGTTAGTAGTAAGCACCTAAAGCGTTTGATACAATTCTTATTGCGAGATGAATGAGTTGAGCATTGCGTATTGAGGAAGTAACCCATCAGAAACAAAGGTGATACAGAGTGCCACTATACCTACGGGCAGATTGCAAGCAGGAAGAAGCTGTTGCCAGTAGTAGCTAGAAAGTAAATGTGCGCCACAAGCTTCATTGGGAAATTACACCAAAAAAGGCTGCAATTTTGCACAAATTGCGTAACATCATCGACACCTTCAATGTGCCGTTTTGGGAAGACAGTTTCTATTTCTTCACTTCCATCGTACCGGGAGTCCTGTTTGTTGCTCTGTAGAAAAGATAGTAACATGTTTGCTGTGATTTTTGAGCACTGCTATCTTTTTAGAAGTGAGAGACTGGCTTGCAAGCAGAAGTTTGTTGGCTCGAAAGTTCAAATCACTGGTCAGAACGTGAAAAGCGGCAGCGGGTTCGATAGTTGC